TTATAATACCATCTGGTGTGACATATATTGGTTGTAATTGTTTCAATGGATGCAGTTGTTTAAGCAGTGTTACAATACCATCAAGTGTGATATTAATTGGTAGTAATTGTTTTAGTTGTTGTAGTAGTCTGACTAGTGTAACAATACCATTAAGTGTAACATTTATTGGTGATTGTTGTTTCTATAAATGCGATAGTCTAACAAGTATTAACATATTATCAAGTGTGAGATCAATTGGTGATGGTTGTTTCTATGAATGTGATAGTTTAAGTGATGTTACAATACCATCTAGTGTGACATATATTGGTAGTAATTGTTTCAGTTATTGCAGGAGTCTAATTAGTATTACAATACCATCAAGTGTGATATTAATTGGTGATTATTGTTTTCCATCAAACACAATAGTTCATCTAAGCAAATGAGATAATTTATATATTTCATAATTTGTTCATAATGATAAAAAGTAAATAAAAGTTAAAAAAAGTCGATTAATTATTTACTAAATTGATTATATTAAAGTAATGGTTGCGTCCGAAGAAGGGTTCAAAGCCCGCCCCCCTTTTCCACTCACCTCCTGAGAACAGATATTATTTGAATGTACAATTGTGTAATTTGGTGAGTATAAACCACGTCATTTAAAAATAAATAATAACAAAAGTTAATAAAATAGAATTAAGTGATATAAATAAAAATAGTAGTTTTTAATTAATTATATGAAAATATAGATATTTGTAATTGAAAATATTTATTAATATTTTAAGTAAAATTAGAATATAAATTATGTAGATTTTGAGGGACCTCATTTTTTAAATAAAAATGTTATAATCTGAATTTTCACATAATTCCAGATTCTATTTTTCAAAACTTCAAACTCATATTTTTATTTTTTACAATTTTTTATTTCCCTAAAATTAGCATAAGTACTGAAAAGCAATATATAAATTTAAATATTATATCTATATTGGATATAGTATTTAAATTTATATATAAACTTGATTAAAAAATGAAATTTCTAAAATGTATTTTGGAGAATATGATTATTCTCAATACATAAAAGTAGGGATGAAGTAAAATGGTGAAATAATTTTACTGAAAATTCATGTTTTAGTAAATTATTTGGTGAAACCATTTCACCAAATAGAACTATTTAAGTTTTTAAATTTTGGTTTTGTTTATAAAGAATAATTTAATAAATATCATTTTAATGTTTTTGGTTAAAACAATTTCATCATTTTGAAAAAAATTAAAAATTCAATAATGATTTTTTTTACAATTACCACAATGAGTGGCAATATTCATCTTATTGTAAATATTTTTTACTTATCATAAATAAAAAACAATTTGCATAAAACGTGTTTCAATAAATATTCAAACAAAACAACACTATGTTTAATAAAAAGGTACAAATCAAAAACATATTATTTTAAAATCTAGGATATATATTAAAGAATTAGCATATAAAATACATTGATAAAAGCTCAATCAATTTAATTTATTTTTATAAGCAACAAATATCGAAAATATTTTTTACAACATCTAACCGTGGTTTGGATTGATTAAATATAACATCATATGAAATTATCTGTTTATTTTGTTTTGAAAATGCGCCTGAAAATACTTATTATAATTTAAGACATTATATTTCAAAACAAAACAATTATAATAAAATAATTATGAATATAAATTGTTATATTTTTGATAATTAAAATATGATAATTATGATTATAATATTTCGATTTTATCTATCAGACATATTCTTAAAATAATAACACCTTCAATTTGTTACTTATTATGTCAAGTAACGTTGTTTTGCAATATCAATAAAATAACTATGATATAAAATGCATATTTTTACAAGACAATATTTCTTTTATAATATGAAAATAATGTTTATTTGAAATAAGTTCAAAAACAAAAAGTAAATATCACTTACATACAATCTATGATTCTTTTCATTACATTGATTGATAAGAATAGTTGTTATTTTTAAAATGATATATGGTGGTAAATGATAACCAATGATTTTAAACAAAAAGTGCCTATCGTTTTTATAATGGGTGTCAAATAATAATATAAATTCGGTTGTCTAATCTGAAATAAAAATTTTGTTATTTTTATTTAGTTTTCACTTATATTAACGTATCAGCTTCCGATAAAATAAAAAACATTTTCTCATCAAACATGTGTATATTTATTAAAAAACAACAAAAGTAACATTAGAATTGTTTTTTTTTCAAAAAAAAAATAATTTAATGATATTGGTTATTGTTTGATTATTTTGGTCTTTTTTGTTTTTTTATTCATTTTTTTAACATTAATTGCAATAATAATTAAATGTTGGCAAAAATCGAAAAACTAAATTATTTAATTACAATTAATGAAAATGCAAAATGTTATACTTTTTTGATTTTTGATAAAATGTTTTTTAAAATATAGGGATCTTTAAGATCGTAAATTGGTGAAATATTTTACCAATTTTTTCTCTTTTTTGGTAAACAGGTAAAATGGATTTTACTTCATCAAAAATAATAATTTCAATATTATATTAAATTTGAATACAAAAAACACAGTTTACTATTAACCAAATGGAAAAAATAAGACAAATATATGCGGTTCATAACAGTATTAACTTTCTGTTTATTGTATAAATATTGGTTTCAACTTAATAAAACATGAGTTGCACTTGTATCAATTAAACAATGTGTGTCAAGTAAAAATGTGCTCATTCATCATATTATACTCTGAAGATTTACTTTTGTTCATACAATAGACACCACCTATGACTGCCCCAACAATTACAATGATGACCAAAAGTCCTCCAATGACACCCAAAGTGATCCACAACCAAGTCAAATCATTATCACCATCAGAAGTTGTATTATTTGAGCTTTGGTGTTCACTGTTAGTTGAATTATCTTCTTGGCTGTTATCAGAACTTGCTAAACTAGCAGTTGAACTGGTTTCTATACTATTCTCAGAACTGTCTTGTTGACTGTTTTCAGAGCTATTTTCAAGGCTATCTGAACTTTCTTGGATGTTGCTTGAAGTATTGTCTGAGCTCTCAACCTGACTACTTTCAGAACTTGCTTGACTATTTTCAGAACTGACATCTTGGCTTGAAACAGAACTGTCTTCTTGGCTGTTATCAGAGCTCTCTAAACTGGTAGTTGAACTGGTTTCAATGCTATTCTCAGAACTATTTTGTTGACTGTTGTCTGAACTTTCAACACTGGAATTATCAATACCACTGGACACGTCTACACTGCTGTTGTCTACTGCACTACTTGACTCTTCATTGTCAAAACAGTTCAAATCTTGACCAGGCAGGTAATATTCGATAGAGACTGGCACCGTTGTTGGGTCTGTGTATTGACTCACCACTTTAGTCTCTTCTGAGTACTTGACACAAACACCACAATTGCCATCAGCCAGCGGCTCTCCACATACGATTGGGCCACACTTGTTGTCGCTCACTTTGTTGTAATAGCACTTGTCGCACTTTGTTGCACTCTCACTGCATGTCATACACATGAAATCAGAACACGTGTAATCGCGGCAGTAATTCTCCTTGTATTCACATTTATCAGAACACATGTCGCCACACTTTGAACACGTGAAGTCGTCGTTCATGAAGTATCCATCGGCACATTCAACACACTTCACTACATTGTCGAGATTGGTGCTGTATGTCTTGCAATTGGATGTGTGTGGGACACACACTTGTGGATTCTCAACACTCACTTTGTAGTTTTCAGAGCATTTAGAACAAGCACCAGTGTCGTCCCAAGTCGTGCAATTGCTTCCTTTATACAAACATAAAGTGATATTCTCTGAGACACTTTCAAAAACACAATTTTGGCCAGATACTGAACATTCCTCTGCTGTTGCAGCAACATCACTGCATGTGTACGCAGGGTTGGAACTCACTGAATGTCAATTCATAACTTGAGTTGATATTATTATTAATGATTATTTGTATAATATTTAATAACAAACTAAGACAAGTACCATTTGTCTGTAAAATGTACGCAGCTAAACAGACAGTGCATGTGGTAATGCCAGACTCTGAAGTACACGTGTCACACCCTTCAGAACACGCTGATTGTCAATTCATATTATACAATGCTTAATTATTATAATGAAGTTATTTTTATAAAACACAAGGCATCTTTTTCATAGTTTTGATTTATTGAGTTGATGCAAATATCATCACGTTTTTATTTATGTATAATAAGATATAATATATAATATTATTATTAAACAATAATAACAAACTTTCACATTTCTTTGTTTCATTGTCGTACACAAACGCGTCAGCACACGTTGTACACTCCTCAGAAGCACACACATTACAGTGCTCAATACACAATTTGCAAGTCATTTCAGAGGCATAATACCCATCATCGCACTGTGAGCACTCACTGTTTGTTGACGAGAACAGACAGTGTTCCCCAAAGACGTCTTCTGTTGTTTGACACGTCTTATTACCCAGCAAGACATACCCCGGAATGCATGCAGAACACTCCGCGTCTCCTTCAGCTGAGAACGTGTATTGTGCACACGTCACATCACCGCCTTCTGTCTGTCAGTTTGTCATCAATAACCATACTTTGATAGTATATTTATATTATATACTATATAATAAATATAGTATATTTATTGTATCAAAATAGTAAAAGTACAAACGGTGACACGTCTTGGTAGTTTGGTCCAAATAGTAGCCAGTGACACATGAATCGCACTGATACGCTTCGTCGACCAATCTGTAGTTGATGCAGTAGATGTCCTGTGTCTCACAGAGGTGATCAACAGATGGGTGGTAATTGAGGAAACAATCAGTGCACGTGCAATTGTCATCGTATGCAGAACAATGTGCAACTTCAGCACACTGTGTACAAACGCCGTCAACAAACTTGTAATTGAATGAACACGATGAACATGTGCCATCGGCATTGTATTGCTGGCATGCATAATCGCCCTCTGTTTGTTATTTGTGTATAACGATGTGAATAACAAACCAACACATCTCTTTGTTGTTGCATCAAGTTGATAACCAGTCTCACACTGCTCGCAATTGCCTTGATAGACCTGATCACAGTGTGCCTCACTCTTATCTTTTTGTTATTTCATTTCATTTTATTTATAAATTAGTTGTGAAGATGTTACAAGTAAATACATATTTATAAACAACGTATTGTGTTTTTTTTATAATAAAATTGGCATTATTACTGTTTAACATAATTGCAATATATCAAGATTATATAAGTATTGTAATAAACAAACGAATACAAATACCATCACTCAAAATATAATTGGTCTTGCATTCAACGCATTTGTCCGATCCAGAGTTACAAGAAACACAAGATGCTGTCGAACAGTCGGGGTTAGACTTCTCTGCGTTGATTTGAGCAAACACAAGTGCAAGAACAAGAGCAAACATCTGATTTTGAAGAATAAAAAACGATTTAAATGTTATTGAAAATTTTGTAGGTTTTTTATTATTTGGTATTAAATTAAAACGAAATATTTATAATTATTTACAAAGCAAAAATGACAAAACAACAGTCGATTTTTTAAGTAAAAAATAACATTTTAAAATGTTTGTATATTATAAATATCCTGATTTATTAATATTGATATCTTAATCATAAGTAAAATAAATTACTGATTTCAAAAAAATCGTCAAATTATAGAGGAAATTTGCTGTATTTTTGTTGTTAAATTTTTAAGTTTTTGTATAATATTTTCGAAAAAAACACTATTGTTACTCTTATTTATTCGTTTCAAAAAACCCTTTGTTTTTGACAATGAAAATATAATAATAAAGAATTTATAAAATTATACAGAAACTACTGATTTTATTTGCACAAAAATAATATTTTTATTTTATTTTTTTGTGTAAATAAAAAAAACTTTCTTTGTATTTTGCAATTAATTTGATAATCCAACATTTCAAATTAAAAAGAAATAAGTTAAATAACAAAATTAAAAACGGTGTTACAGTAAGAGGAAATATGGGGATGCTCGAAAAAGGTGGATGCTCGTAACTTTTGGTTAATTTCAATTGAAAATAATAAAATTACTTTTAATTTTGTTATAAATTATTAATTAAAAAATTAATAAAATGAAAAAACCAAAATAAATTTGTATTAATTATTTATTATTATATATATTTTTAATAATAATGAATTAATTAATAATCAGATTAGCATTTCCCACTTACAATTATAAGTTTGAGTTTATTTTATTCATGTATAACACAAAGTCAATTTACTTGGCAAATAATAATCGCTTAAAAATATGTTAAACAATGTTGTGAAACGATTTAATTTTTATATACATTTTATATTTATAATTTATATGGGTTTATAATTAATATTGTCATATTTGATAACACAAAAATATAACTGTGTGATATTCTTATAATGAAAAAGATGTTAAACACAAAAATCACAAATCATATAAAATATTATGTGATTAATGATTTTTATAAATAAAAATTAATAATTACAGGCAAACAACTTAATATCAATAAATATATATAATGACATGTTTGATATTGAAATACAATAATTATTTTCTGTATTTTGATTCGATTAATTTACCATTAATAAATTTAATTTATTTAATGAATTTTCAATTTATTAATTATTTAAAAAAATAATGTGTATTTTTATTGATCATAAACAACATCATTGAGTTGTTTTATAATATCTTATAATTACAAATATAAATAGTTTAATTATATTAAATGGTGTTACAAAATATTATTTTAAAAGTGTATATTTTGTGGATATGTTAATGTTTGAAATGACAACATATGAATTGAAATATAACGCTTTATCATTTTAATTAATTCAAATTCATTTTCCTTTAAACTCTAATAACTTATGTTTAGTTTTGATACATACCATCAAGTGTCCATAAAAATAACATTATCCAATTAACAATATTTAAGTATTACTTCTCATTGAAATTGAAATATAAAAAAAATATTTTATTATAACAAGTTTTTTATCAATTGTTTGAAATTAATAAACTTGATTTGATAAATAAACATTCTAATACTTTTTGTCTTTTTTTATTTTTCATTGATGTATTTAGACAATTAAGTAAAATGTCAAATATCATTATAATCTATGTTTTTATTTAAATATATAATTGTTAATTAAATATTCATAAACACAATTGAATATTTGTTATTTGTTTATTTAAACATATATTTATATTTATATTTCTCTTGTTGTGTCTACTACTTCACACAATAAAAAGTTTGCTTTATTGTTGTTATAAACGGCAGCTTCTTTTTCTATTGTTATACTCAGCGTCTGAGCACAAATAACACAATCAGTTAATTTGTCCAAGTTCGTTTTCATTTAAAAATAAAAGATCTAAAATTAAAAAAACAAAATTGAAAAACAAAACCAAATAACAATAAAAATAATTTATTTTTGGTTATAAATAAGGTTTCTAGACTGACTTTATAACTTTATCAAAAAATAAAACAAATAATAACACAAAATATAATTACAACCAATATATAAGGTTTATATACATAAATACAACATTTACTTAAAAATGTTCAAATATTAAAAAAATTAATTATTTAAAGTTAAATAATGTTATTTATTATTCTAATATTTGTTATTAATCCGAAAAAATAATGTTGTTTAGATCATTCCCATCAAGTGTTTTTACGTATAATTAATTCAAAAAGTTGTATTAAATTATGTAAATAATTGATGTAAAGAAAACAGTGTAATTTAACTATTTTATTTAATACAAAACATAGTTAATTTGTTTCTTTTACCACTTGGTTAAAATAACAATTGGGTTGTTTGTTTTATTTTTTTACTTATGGATAACATTTAGCATTTAGTAGTGTTTTGTTAATAGGTGAATTTCAATCAGCATCAATTGTAAATTAATGATTTATTATTAACCAAATAATATATTTACAATTTAACCTTAGCAAGTCAACTGAATCAATTTTTTTGTAAAAAGGTGAAAACTGGATAAATTTTGTCTAGATCCTATTTATTTTTAAATTAATTAGAAACAAATTCAAAAACACGGGATTGATTGGTTTTTGCGCAAACTAATGGTCTTTACAGACTAGTGTTTCTTATTTTCCATATATTCAAAATTGTCAATGCTTGCTGTTACGAGACGTACACAAAAACTTTCATGAAAGCGCTTCAATTTTTATTTATTTACATTATTTAAATTGGTTTGTGACACGCCGTTCTTAATTAGAGATCTTTTTAGTTTAAATACAAAAATAAAAAAGTGACTTATTTTAAGTAAAAAAATCAAGGATATAAATTATCCAGTTTTCACTTCGTAAGGTTAAAATAGTGTGGTTTAAAAAAATAAAAAATAAGCTATTTTTCTGATTATTTTTTTTTTCAAAAACAAAAAATACAAATTATGGTAGCTCTAGATTCGGACCTAACCCGGGTAAATTGAGAAGTATATTTATAACACTGAAATGTTTTGAGACACTAAGATTTTATTTTTAGTTGTGAGGAAATAATCATATTTTTAAAGTCTATATAAATCTTTAAACAAATGAAAAAAGATAGTTAAAATGTCACTGAACCAAGATAACAAACGAGAAAAAATAATACAAGAAATTTATGATGTCGAAGTGTGTTATGTTAAATGTTTGCAAATAGGTCTTACCCATTATTACAATCACTTACTGAACGACAAACCTCAAATAATTAGCCAAAAACAAACAGAAGATCTTTTTCACTGTTACGACCAAGTTTATTCCACAACCAAACAATTTTTATTGGAACTCCAATCATCAAATGATGCACATACACTCTCTCAGAACATTGGGGAGTTATTTGAAAGGTTTATAAAAAATTTCCAAGCATACTATCAATATATCGGAAACATTCCACTCTCATTCCACACACTCGCTCAACTTGAGCAGTCAAAGACTAACGCAAGTTACTTAGAGCAACTTAAGAATGCCATACCAGACCAAAACAAAGATGGACTTCTATTCTATTTGATATTCCCCGTTCAACACCCCGCTCGCTATAATCTTTTGTTACGTGAATTACTCAAAAACACCCAACAAACCGACTTGGATTATCCTCATTTGGTTGCTGCAATTGAAGAAACCAAAAAACTTGCTGATTATGGAGCCAATGCCATCAATGATGCACAACGAGATAAAGAATTGGTTTTAGTTGAAAAACGTGTTTCTGGGTATCCGGGAACTCTTGTAGATCCACACAGAGTGTTACTTAAAGAAGGAAGTTTGTTGATAGAAAGTGAACAAAAGACCAATTATCAATACATCTTACTCTTCAATGATATTTTAATTTGTGGAAAAGGCGATGAAAAGCACGTGGAAGTGTCTCATGTGTACGATGTTAAAATGATCATTGTAAAAGACATAACAACGCCAGTTAATTCGTTTGAGATATCAATAGACAATACTTCGTTCATTTTGTCTGCCAAAACCGAATTAAGTAAGCAATCATGGATGGAAGCCATCGAAAAAGCTGTGAAAGAGGTAAAACATGTTAAGGAAGAAACTCATGCCAAGTGAGTAACATTATCATTAAATCAGTGATAATGTATCGAACATTTTATTTCGTTTATTAATAAAATATTAATAAATATCTTTTATATATAATATTAATTGATGTTATTATAAAGATATATTAAAATATGATATAATAGAAATATAATATTTTTTATATATAATAGTAAAATCCTTTTATATATAATAGCAAAATCGGTATATTTATTTATTTATTTACAGTTACTATTTTTATTGGTTTTATACTATTAAGCATGTACTATATTAATGGTTAATTTTACTAAATATAATAGTAAAATGTGATACAGTTTAAGAAACGATAGTTAAGATTTGCACTAACTATCGTTTTATTGAAGTTTAGTTCCATAAAAAAAAAGAATTTAGTATATTTTTTAATTTAATTAACTAAATAAATTTCAAAAAAGAGCTAAACAAACAGACACACACATGTTATTCAAAATATAATCACAAGAAAATAACGAGAAAAATGTAAATACACGTAAATGAAAAAAAAAAACGAATAAATGATAAATCGAGAAAGACGAGTAATTTCAAAAACGAAAAAACGAAAAAACGAAAAAACGAAAAAACGAAAAAACGAAAAAACGAAAAAACGAAAAAACGAAAAAACGAAAAAACGAAAAAACGAAAAAACGAAAAAACGAAAAAAC